TAGTGTCAATACGAATTAAAAAACGATAATGCGTTGTTCTTATATAACTGTGATGCAGCACAGTTATATGTAAACGAATATCAATATAATTAATCGTTGACAATGCTTTTCATCATTCTTATAGCTACTCGATATACTCAGTTTAATAATAATGTCATGTTTTACACTTGAAATTATGTGTTTGTCTGTTGGGTTTCACACAAAGCTTGCCGTCATCACCATCCACCGCCAACTCTTGGGCTACTCTTTTACCAACGAATAGTGGGATTGACCGTCACATTATAACGCCTCCACGGCTGAAAGGGCGAGCATGTTTGGTGTGACGGGGATTCGAACCCGCGACCCACTGATTGCGAGTCGAGTACCCTAACCACCTGGCCATTGTGTTTTGTCTTTGTCAACTGTGTCATTTGGTCCCTCCCCTTCCCTATTAACTGTAGGACCTAGTCCTGAGTTTTTTATTTCTCCCCTTTGCCTGATATTAGGGTCCATACCGAACATTTTGCAGATCAATTACGTGAGGGGGTTAGTATGATGCGCCCCCACATATTTCAGAGGCACATGATCTTGCATATCATTGTTCAGCAAATCCTTGGGTCATTCGAGTTTTGTTAGAACTAATAGAAGGACTCTCCCTCCTTTTTCTCGCACCTCCTGTCTTATCCCCTGTCCCAGTTCCTTCCCTCTCTCTAGATATCGTTTCCTGCTAGCGTCTCACAAAAGCAGTTCAAGACTGTCTTTTCAAGATTGCCATTAAACAGGTTTCTGCTGTTTTTCCAAGAATCTGTTCCCGATTTTTTGTCATTCCAAGAAGACCGGGTATTTGGATCTTGTTTTTGATCTCTCCTGTCTAAATTGCTTTCTCGACATGCCTCGGTTCACCATGGAACCCTACCTGTCTCTCAGATGGATTTTTCTCCTAGGGCTTTGGATGACGAGATTTGACGTGTCCGGCGCTTATCTTCACACCCCTATTGCTCGGGCTTCACATCATTATTTATATTTTGTCCACGAGGATCACGTTTATCAATTTTGAGCTCTTCCTTTAGAGCTGGCATCGGCATTCCATGCTTTGTTGGATGGTCTGGTTATTTGCAAGATTCCTAAATTTTTGCGGGCTTAATTTCCATCTGTATATGGATGTCTGGCTCCTTTGGAGAGTCTTCCACACTTACCCAACTTCTCATCAGAGAAGCTACCAGGTAGGGTTGAATTATCTAGGTGGAGAAGTCTGTTATTCACCCCACCCAATATTTTGTTCGTCTGTTTTGTTTTTTTCAACTTGTAACTCAGTCAAGCCCAGCCTTCCCCTCTTTGTCTGCAAGTCATGGAGTTTTAGTTCAGAGGGCACTATCATCACCTTCTCTCCTTGCACGAGAGGTTTTGTCTTTTTTGAGGACTTGGGTGTCACTGAAAGATCTTATTCCTCTGGGTCATTCCCACATGCATTCCGTGCAGTGGGCACTACAAGATCAATGACACCTCAACATGGACCCTCTGGATTTACAGATATCCCTTCTTGCTTCCTTTCAGTCCGACTTTTTTCTGGTGGTTAGACGGGCAACACGACAGTGTGGGTACCAATTCCTACTCCCATCCAAATATCCACATCTTTACAGATGTCTCATTCTCAAGATGGGGTGTGGTCTCTCAACTGCCAGATATTCAGACTGCTATACTTTCAGTTGGATACTTCCCAGCTGTATGCATTTGACACTCGTTTGAATGCCAGACTTCCTCTCTTTTGATCCCCAGTTTCATATCCTTTGGTTTTCGTCATGGATGCATTCAACCAGGATTGGAAGGGCCTTTTCCTTTATACATATTCTCCCATCTATCTTCTACCCTGAGTAATTTCTCTCATACTATCCACACATTTTTCAGTCCTTCTTGTGGCTTCTTTCTGGCTAGCTCAACTGTCTCTTCTCCAGGAACTACCTCTGTTATCTCTCACAGTCCCTCCTCCAGCAACCTCACTGAGGAGTGTTTCATTTCTCCATTCCCATACTTCATGTATGGCTTTTATCCTGTCTCTTGCAAGGAGTTTGAGACTATCCATAAATGTTGTTTCACTCTGTCTATTTCTCATCCATGCCTGTCTATCTGGCATGGATTCTCCCCTTTCTCAGATATCTGATTGTTAATGGTTCTTTGAAATGCGTTTGTCCATTTCAATCATTGTGAGCTTCAGGGTAGCCCTGTCATCTACTTTTCATTTTCCTACGTGTTTTTCTCTCGAGCTATGCATCTCCATCATCTTCCTCATACCACTCAATTGCTGGACTGGAATCTAAATATTGTTCTCTTTGCCCTTTCTCCCTTCGAACCACTAGCCTCATGTTCCTTGTATCATCTTTCCTTCACCTTTTGGCTTGTGGACATCACCAGTCAGACTTGTTCACCATTGACATTCACCAGATTTGTACCACAAAACTTACGTTCTTTCATATCCTGACCATTCCTTCTTTCCCAAAACATCATCTGCCCACAAAGTAGATTTCACCTTCACCCTTTTTTCCCTTCCTTCCATATCTCATATTTTCTCTCAATGATCTGGATCATCTCCTGTGTCTGGTCTGTGCTTTATGGTGTTACACGTTGCACACAATGCCAAACGTAAGGCACCAAATGCCACTCAAAAAAATTGCTGTTCAGCTTTTAAAGAAGGATCGCTTTTGGAAATTACGGAAACCATAAGTTCGTAGTCTACCCAGTAGAGGGAGCATTTGCATGATTACTCTTTCTTTTGTCCCCCACCCCACTTCAGTTCTTGCTACATGGTTGTTAATAATAAATCTAAAATAGCTTCCATTTTATGGTTAGCACTCTGATCCCTTGAAATAGAAAAATCATTTCAAGAAATCTCTTTCCCTTGTATTTGACTCCATATATTACCAATTAATGTGTGAAGTCTCCTGTAATTATTGCATCAATATTCTTATTAACAACAACGTTGATCTCATTATGCAATTTCCTCCTTCTGTCTGATCATGTGATCTTTAACAATTAAAAACTGATTACCCTTCAAACCCCTCATCATATAGATCCAACCTCTGGAATACCTTTTTTTATGTTTTCATCTCTATAAGACTGCAAACTTTGTGCCATCAATCAAAAATACAATTTCAGTGTCTTAATTTTTGCAAAACATCACAAACTACAGTATAAAATGAAAGAAATGTTTATGAAATTGAAAGGCCTAAAAAAACAAACACGAAAGAAGCCTAATGTTATATTTAGAGGTATACTGCATGCCATAGTTTAAGACTAGTTTCATCCTGTTCTTTAGGTCAGCTGTATTCAAGCATGGTTCCAAGGTTTGCTTCGAATACAGGTAAAATATAAATACCTTAACAAGTAAAATAAAATATAACATTGCAGTAAAAGTGTATCCTCCCCTTTAAACCCCCCTCAAAAGTTTAGATGGGACTTAACTTACAATATGTATGACATTGTAGTTAATGTGTATCCTCCTTTTTAGAAACCCCCAAAAGTTTGGATAGATAATTGAAATTACACCCACATTAGAAGACCCTGGTACAGAAAAGCTTTGCCTCTTCAATATTTTATGCTAGGTTATTTTCAAAAGACCAAATGAACTGTCAAATGTCAAAAGACATTATGAATAAATGGCAGAACTTGTAGGAAACAAAGGACACTGTTCAGGAAGACATTATGAATAAATGTTCCCAACGCAGCTATACATTACATTATAAATTATATATTCCATTGCATCTTTTAGTTTTAGCAGTAAAATAGTCAAGAGGTTTAATGGTTGGTTCCATACTCACTACTGTGGATAAGCAAAGAGTGAGGGTTTAATTCATATAGAAACCACATAAATTTAGCTCTGTAACTTCATTTACTCAGGTGTAATATTGAATTGAAATCTTGCAAAACGAGGGCCATTAAAACATGCTGTTTAAACATAGAGAAAATCCATCCAGAATGAGCCATTAAACTTATTCAAGCAGTCATCTTAGTTAACATTTTGTAAACTTGAGGGCCCCCTGACAGGTACAGTTTCCCTTGCAATGAACAAATCCTACTTCTCCATCTTTGTTATGGTAGGAACTGAAAATATTTCTGTTGTTGTTGCTTCTGTATGGGCTGACTTTAACCACTTCTAAGTACTAAAGTAAAATGTAAACAAACCTTTAATAGCAATGAAAGCAGTTTGAGAATTTCATTTTATGACACATAAAAATTAAAACCTTGCATGCAATTGCTACTGTCTTTCAGTGATTAGTGTTCTGGTTATAAAGTAGGAAAATATGATAATGTTAAGACGTACAAAAATTAGGTAACTTGCAAGCTAAATCAGTGATTATGTTAAATATTTCAAGCCAAATACAGAGGTTTCTATGGACTTTTAAACCAAGAACTTGAAAAATGGTGAGCCAGGATAATACAGAAAACGAGTTTTACTTTTTAAGACTTTGTAGTCTCTATGTCAACAACATTTGGGAACAGAAATTTTGCTATATTTTACAAAAAAAAAGATATTTCTTCAAACTTATCCAGCATTAAGATTTCAGGTGAATTCTCTCGTCACCGAAGTAATAGCTTTCTAATTGTTCTGGAGCACAGTTTATGATATATTATTAATGACAGAATTAGAAACCTGTTTCTCTTGTTAATAATGTATCATCATATTAATATCCTTCTAATCTGTCACTTTTAAAAGCTTTTGTTGTCATCTATTGATAAATTTGTTTTGTTTTTAGCAATCAGTAACATTTTAAATTGTCTGGTTTTTTTGTTTGCAGAGGTATAAATAAGACTTAAAAGATGGCAAGGAAAAACGACGTAATGAACCTAGTTTCAAGACTGACAGAGTAATAACTCCGGGTTCATATAACATTTTAACTACCGATGTTAAATACAGAAAAGATAAAATAATTACAGCTGTTTGTTCTTAAGATTGTTAACGGAGACGTTTCTTACATAACCAAGTTTTTAACTTTATAGGTCTGCAGAAAGAAAGAAAAAAGATTGAATTTTCTTTGCTATTTTTACATTGTTTAATTCAATTGTGTTAACTGAAAGTTCAAGAGCAAAATCAATAATTCAAAAATAATTGTACAGAAAAATGATGCGAATTGGAAGTAAACATTTGTTGATTTCTCTTCTTGGAGGACGTGAAAACTAAAGCTGCAAGTCTAGACTTGTAGAAGTTCTCAGTTTATTAAACAAATAACAGCTTTGTGCTTTTCATATATTTAGTAATAGTGGTTCGCCATCAAAGGTCAGCTTTCGAATTTACTTTCCTTCACTGGAGATGGGGCAACATCTACAGGCAACAGGTCTCCCCAATGGCTAATACGTGCACAACGGTATAAATGTCTGAAATTAATATACATTAAACTGAATATAAGATAGTTTCCTTTATAATACTACATACGACAATCACTTAAAAATTGCCGCAGTCAACATGCAACAGTGGGGTGCTCAAATGTTAAGGTGATAAACCTGTCCATTCAATATATCATTGTTCAGTCATGTTTAAGAACTATTTTTTGTAAGTATGTGAAGCCTGTTCACAACTTTTATAGCAAAGCAGAATAATCAAATGAGCACAGTGAACTTACCACTTATGCTTAGCTTTGGTAAAGATGACTGTTACTATGGTACAGTGAATTTACCCCTTATGTTTAGCTTTGGTAAAGATGACTGTTACTATGGCACATTGTACTTACCCCTTATGTTCAGATTTGGTAAAGATGACTGTTACTATGGCACAGTGAACTTACCCCTTATGTTTAGCTTTGGTAAAGATGACTGTTACTATGGCACATTGTACTTACCCCTTATGTTCAGCTTTGGTAAAGATTACTATTACTATGGTACAGTGAACTTACCCCTTATGTTTAGCTTTGGTAAAGATGACTGTTACTATGGCACATTGTACTTACCTCTTATGTTCAGATTTGGTAAAGATGACTGTTACTATGGCACAGTGAACTTATCCCTTATGTTCAGATTTGGTAAAGATGACTATTACTATGGTACAGTGAACTTACCCCTTATGTTTAGCTTTAGTAAAGATGACTGTTACTATGGCACATTGTACTTACCTCTTATGTTCAGCTTTGGTAAAGATGACTATTACTATGGTACAGTGAACTTACCCCTTATGTTTAGCTTTGGTAAAGATGACTGTTACTATGGCACATTGTACTTACCTCTTATGTTTAGCTTTGGTAAAGATGACTGTTACTATGGCACAGTGTACTTATCTCTTATGTTTAGCTTTGGTAAAGATGACTGAAGAAGACATACTGCTGCACGGTTAACTTACCCCTTATGTTTAGCTTTGGTCAAGATGACTGAAGAAGACTCTTACTGCTGCACGGTTAACTTACCCCTTATGTTTAGCTTTGGTAAAGATGACTGAAGAAGACTCTTATTGCTGCACGGTTAACTTACCCCTTATGTTTAGCTTTGGTAAAGATGACTGAAGAAGACTCTTACTGCTGCACGGTTAACTTACCCTTTATGTTTAGCTTTGGTAAAGATGACCTCATGGAGGTGGCCATCATTACAGCACATTCGACACACAACGTGTTTTCTTCTAGGAAGAACTGGTTCAACAATTCTTGGCCACTTATTTCCTGGAATTACATTATTAGTTAAAACCAATAAGATGGTCAGTGCATCAGTTTATTGTTTTTGTATGGAAATAAAACAGGCATATATTTTAGTATCTTAGCTTTTCATCTGCATACGTACATCTGTGATTGAAGTTAGCTTAAGTAAGATAGTGATTCATAACCCAGAAGTTTTCCTAAAGATGAACAGAACTAAAGAATGACTTTCTTTTCCATCATGGAAGTTGTACGTTTTTAGCGTAAAACCTAAGCCTACATACCTAAGCCTAAGGCGTCATACAAAGTTACCCCTGGAGAGTGATGGATTATCACTTTTATTTCAACAGTTACAGTTAACTCATTTTCAAATCACACAAATAACAAATTTTGTGATAATATTCTGGATTTCTGTAAAATTTATTTCTTCCAGCGTGACACTGAAGACTAGATTATAAAGTTTTTATTTAGTTACGACAAAAACAACTCGGGTAAAAATACTTACCATTTCTTCCTTTCCTGAGAACAACGTATGAATATCTGTGGTTACATTTCTTCATTGTCTGAAACATGAAATTGTAAAATTTTCAGAGAACTTTATGTAACAACTTCCACCAAAAAATCTGATAAAAATTATTCAATAATAATAATAATAATAGTTTTTTTAATTATGAGTAACAGTAATTATGAGTCTGTAGTGTTTAATATTATTTATTCCTCATAGTTTTACCACTACAATACTAAACATTGGCCCCATCAGCTTTTTCTATACACCACATTGCTTGTGGGCCCACAACTTTGTTGGTCACGGGTCACGTAAAAATTTTTAACATAAATATCAGCTAATCCCATTAATTCCTGCTAAAATTTCCTATACATTTTATACAGTAAAACTTGTATGAAATTAGCAAAACCAATGACCAAAGGTCAGTATTCAAAATGGTAGATGTTTAGATTTTGTGACAGAGAATGCTGTTTTGTTCAAAAAAAAGATTTTGTATATGCAACTTAGATTAAGGATTCAAAGAGCAATAATAATGTGGTCACTGAGTGACCTTCATGACCTTATTATAGAACATATAACAAGAGTAAGCCAAAGTCATATACACGAAAACGTTTCTTAAACAGTCCAAATTCACCTCTTGTATTCTTCTACCTTATTGTGTTCAAATATGTAAATGTTTCTTGACCTTTGGCCCCTGTATTTCAACCCCCTTCTCCACTTGTACTACTCAGACATCTTTATGTGTTGAGATTGTTTTCTGTTGAAAATTAGTTCAAATACTCAAAATTATGGTAAATGATAACGAAATTCTGGCATTTTAAATTTTGTGTCATAATATAAGTTAATTTTCCAGAAATAATACTGTAAAAAATCAAAATATTCAAATAAGATCATAACTTCAATGAAATTCTCTTGCAGTTAGAGTGGTAAAATTTTCTAAAATGTCTTTTTATAACCACATTATTCACATCCTCAAAATAAATTTTAAAAACAATTATTTTTTTTGAACACATGACAGCACCCCTTCCAAACAAAATATAGATGTCTGTCATTTTGTTTCTGTTTACCTCATTGGCTTGAAATTGTCAAAGATATTCCAGTTTTTCTAAGTATTTCCATGAGATTCTATTTTATACTAAACTCTGATATTGACCTTAGGTCGTCGACCTTGCCTGGTTCTCCTTTATCTACCACAATCCAATATGTTAGTGTACATAATAAAATCAATTTGTTAACTTTAGTTAAAATTACTATGATGCTAATAATAAAATTTCATAAACTCTTATTCTCAATCACTTTACATCGACGTACATCTTTTAAACACTGCAACTCTGTCCGTAAATGATAGTTATCGCTCAAATATTTGATAAATTAATCCTTAACAGCAATGTGTTCTAAAGAAAATTTTCAAGTTGTTTAGCCACAAAAGAAATATATTTTCCTTATCAGAATACATTAAAACAGTGTTTCCCAAACTTTTGTCATCTATACCTCCCCTAATAAATATGATTTCTTGTGCATCCCCCCATTTTTTTTAAAGGAGTGAAAGAGTGAGTTAAGTGACGAGATATATTACATGGGTACGTATTAAAATGTGTTGTAGTAATTAGTTATTATATCCATTAATGAAAAATATTGAACTGCTTAATTCTGCGTTACTCCCCTAATCACTTTTGGGAATTGCTGTATTAAGTGTTTTTGTTTTTGATTCAAAGTCTTAAATTAACTAACTTTTCAATTAGAATTACTTCATTAAACATTTATTCTTTTAAAGTCTCTTGGGGGCACAGCTTACTTGAGAAACAAAATTATTTAAAAACAGACAGAATGTGATTTGTCAACAAAAAGTATTTAAAACAGACAGACTGTGATTTGTCAACAAAATTATTTAAAACAGACAGAATGTGATTTGTCAACAAAATTATTTAAAACAGACAGACTGTGATTTGTCAACAAAAATTATTTGACTGTGATTCGTCAACAAAATTATTTAAAAACAGACAGACTGTGATTTGTCTACAAAATTATTTAAAAACAGACAGACTGTGATTCGTCAACAAAATTATTTAAAACAGACAGACTGTGATTTGTCAACAAAATTATTTAAAACAGACAGACTGTGATTTGTCAACAAAATTATTTAAAACAGACAGACTGCGATTTGTCAACAAAAATTATTTAAAACAGACTGTGATTCATCAACAAAATTATTTAAAACAGACAGACTGTGATTTGTCAACAAAATTATTTAAAACAGACTGTGATTTGTCAACAAAATTATTTAAAAGCAGGCAGACTGTGATTTGTCAACAAAATTTTTTAAAACAGACAGACTGTGATTTGTCAACAAAATTATTTAAAACAGACAGACTGTGATTTGTCAACAAAATTATTTAAAACAGACAGACTGTGATTTGTCAACAAAATTATTTAAAACAGATAGACTGTGATTTGTCAACAAAAATTATTTAAAAACAGACAGATAGACTGTGATTTGTCAACATTGATTAAATATTAAATTACTTACCTTATCATTCAGAAGAGGAATATACGAGACTTCAAAGTTACAGGGAATTTTACTGTCTGCTACGGGACACTCCATGTTATGAGGACACTAAATGAAGCGAAACAAGTTTCAACAATCATAACCTTAGGTGTTTTAATAAATAAGTTAATAAAATATTGTCCTGTTACTAAACTAACTGGTGTTATATATAAAAAGTTAGGAAATCTTTTTTGCATAATTAACATTGCTGTTCATTATAGGCATGTCAGGATGTACAAAACAACGATACTCAGGGGTTCGCGTAGGTAACACCATCTCAATAAACAAGTAAGTTTTTTAATACTGATGTTCTTTTTTAATTGCACACTCAGTTACATATGTCTTTTATTTGATAGTGAAAAGTGGGAGAACGAGAAAATTATTAGTTAATAAAAACAGTTTGTTGGGTTGGTGGAATCTTTCAAAAACATGGGGTCTGCTGGGAAAAAAATGATAATAAAAGGGGTCCTTGGTGGAGAAAAGGCCTTAAGCCTACTTAACCACTTGGAAATAAAAAGAAACTAAAACTTACTGGAGCTAAAACACATGGTTTTTCTTCTTCGTCAAAATGTTTCTAAAACAAACAAACAAAAAAACATTAACAATTATTTTGTAATATGTCAAATATAAGGAGAATAAAAATAATTTGTTTTTATAAAATGTTTTATAATTTGTTTTACCACCAGAGGTGATACAATTATTTCAATGAAATAGATCTTGCTTCTAAAATATAAATCTTATGCATAAACAATACTTTTAATTTATTTTGGCTAAAAAACATATTTATAGATAATGATTATTGTTTTGCTATCATGTTGTTAACACTTCCATCCCTCGATGGATTTTTCAGATTTCACTCTTTTTAGAGCACTAGTACCAAATTAAAACCTACATCACACATACACCAACAGCACACCAGACATCACTTTTCAATACAGTTCTTGTTATATGATGCATTTACTCTGTTGCTCAAGTTCAGTGAAAATCAGGAGTGGTATTAAGAATTCAACAGGCGTTTTAAGAGTAAATAATGTGTGGACGTGTTGTCCATGAAGGACCAAAACAAACAGGATGAACTGGATGCCAGTTCAGGACTGTGAGCGAGATGGGAAATAACTGTCCATCTGAACTTTTCTATTGTAGATGGCATTTCACCCGTCAAGGAAACATATGACGGCTATTAACACTGACCAAAATTTAACCATGTCCAATGTAAAGTACAAATAAATCCACTTCTTTGTAAACCACACTAAAGTGAAAGTTAATTTCTGTTTGTAACAAAGTTGAGTACACATTGTACTTAACGATCTAACCAACTATAGATAAACATAAATACAAATTATTTATGAAAAGAACCCAGATATCATAATACGACCTCTGTCTTCCAGAACAAGGAAAATTATGACTATAACATGTACACAGATCTTTCTCACCTGAAGAATACGATCTCTAGCTTCAAGAACAACAGTGTGACCCGCCTTGGTACCATTTTCTATTATCACCTGCTCGTACAGAAATGGTTAATGCAACATACAAATTATAACCAGTTCTTTGCAAATCTAACAAATACTCTTTGAAGAAATGATGGATCAATAAATCAAAAATTCTTACTTGAAAAATCTAAACCATGTAAGGTTTAATAGCAAGGTATCCGCTACGTGCCCTGAAGTTTGAAATTTTATTGATTTAAAGAAATAATTTTTAAAATGAGCACTCATGTTTGTGAAGTTAAAAAAAAAAAGCATTCTGCAGAAAGTGTTTTTCAGTTATACATGAATGTATCTAACATAACTTGTTATCCCACCTCTTTAAAGATACTTAATACCAGGTTATAAACCAATGTGTAGAGGTTTATAAACTTGGGGTACTTACCAACATATCTACAGTCTTTCTCCACAGTTGATCAATGAGATTGAACCTATCACTGGCAGAAGGTAGTTCAAGAAGACTGTAGCAAGAAGTCACTATATCGTACGTTCTCTACGGTAGAAAAAGATTGACAGAAGGTAGTTCAAGGAGTATGTAGAACAAGTTACAAATATAAATGTCAAGTGACAGTTACTCTAGAACATCTTAATGACCATTATTTCAACTTAGTGACTTCTGTTATTATACCTTATTTGTAATATTTGCATGAAGGTACACGAGGGCTATTTGTGCTAGCCGTCCATAATTATGAACTGATAAACGAGAGATAAAACAACTAGTCACTGTAACTGCACCCATTTCTAACGCTAATGTAATAGTGGTAATTGACTGTCACTGTTGTGATGCACCCACTCTAATTTCATACAAAATGGGAAGCAAACCATGAACCCTCAGACTTGCAATGCAGCACTAGGCCGTGACCTATGACCCACCTATGACCCATGACCCACCTCCGAGTGAGACATCAAGAAGTAATATTGAGTATGATAATAAATGTTTTGAATGAAACTTAAAAAAAAAAACTTAAATCTTCGGTTTTGTTGTCCCGTGACACACGAGAATTTACAAGTCTTAGCTTTCAGTCTCTGGAACTTAAGTAATTCTTTTCGTACACTAAATCTTAATGTATAGACAGGAACTAAGTTAATTGTTCTAATTACTCATCCTTCCTTCAAATTCCAAGAAAGAAAAATAAATCTCTTGGGAACTCTTGACAGAAGCCACACCCATTTCTAACATAGTCGTATGAATTTGCACTCAATACTATTTATTTCTGTAGATGTTTATAACCAATAGAAAGAGCTGATTTTTAAAGTACAATTTTCTATTGGTTGTTTTCAAATTGGCAGAATTCCATACAAGTTCTTGAATATACTCTCAGTATTGTTGCTGCTTATGTCTTTCTTAGAACTTATATATCACCTAGAAATATGTTAGTTAGATAGACAATTAAATTGTATTTAGGTGTTATTTTATATTTTAGTTATTTATGTTTCAAAATGCGTATTAGAAAGGTTTAATAATTTTTTAAAAATATAACAAAGACTTTGCCGTAGATTTCATGAGGCTTAGTGTCATATGCGATTGCAACAACATGCTACCAAAGACTAAAGTGTCTCTGCCGATGATACGATAATATTTCCTGAGTACACCTGTTAATGCTAAAGGACAGGAAAGGAAAATAAAACATTAAAAACCAACTATATGTGAAAATGTAAAAACTTGCAATTAAGAATATAACCAAACGAAGATCTTTCAAGATTAATCGACGAAAAAATTAAAAGGTGTGTATATTTTTCCATTTCTTAATTTTAAAAATTTCATTGCACCATAATTGTTGATGATAATACTCGAAATACTCAGAGTCTGAGTACAAATAACTACAATACAAAAATAACGGATCTTTTGTTAATATACTTAATTAAAATAATCTCATTCTTTATGTTTAAAATACTTGTAATCTTTAACAAAATTTTACCAATTGTTGTGACAACGTGTTAATAAAACTCAGAATTATCATAAGCATTGCTGTATTATTCCCCATACGAGTAAGTACCCAATCAGCTAAGCCCAAAAGCTCATTTCATACGTACTTTAATAGATAATTTGGGTTTGATACTGTGGTCACAGTTTTATGTAAAACAGAACAAACTAGTAAGTCATCATCTATGTAATGAGATTGTTTTTTTTTTTCATAGCTGTATAATAGCATTTAGAAAGTACTTCAAACAAAACCTTCCTAACCTCATTAGAAGCAGGCAAGAACTGTCTGAAAAAAATACCATCCATAAACATCCTGCTGTTCTCGTCTCCGCCTAAGAACATATAAAAAAGAAATTAAATTCATATATAAAGTGGTGGATTAAGACACCTCATGGCCCCCTCGTGCATATTATTTTTGTTGTACAAGACAAGCGTTACTTCACGGTTAAATATACACTTTAGTTTACATGTGTATGTTTATAGTTCCAGTTTTTGTGTATATATACATGTTTTAATGTTAATCCTATTTTAACAATATGAATCTTGCTTGAAAAAGTTATTTATTCATAACTACAATAAAATTTAAAACGGTACTCACAATTTAAGAGAAAATTGTTTTTAAAATTCATTTCCTTTCTAAGAATTATTCTTTACATACAGTATCTTAGCCTGAAGTTTGTGGGGCAGCAGCCCCGTCTACCCTCTCATTAATCCACAATTGTATATAAATTTGTTAATGAACAATTAGCAAATTACTATTACAAAAAGGATTCAAACTAAAACACTCCTGTGAATTATATCTTAAAAAATAGTTCACTGAAAGGTTACACTTTATGTCGATAAAGAATAATTTCAATGGAAAAAATATTTTTTTTCTACAAGTTGTTGTTCAACTTTCAATAGTTTAGGTTTTTCTTACCACTTCAAGAGTTAATTTTTTAAGTGTTCTTCACATAAACCATGTTTGTTTGATTCCAGTGTACAGTCCTTTACTCACCGTTAATAACCTAGAATACTTCAGATATGTGGATAACATGTGAAATACTATCCATCATTATTTTGTGGATTAACAGTTTTTCAATTTAATTATTAATTTATTTTCTTCACCAAACTGTAAATTTTTACTGATGAACCATGAATTCACCAAAACTAGTCTAGTGCAGTAGAAGTAGCAAATAAAAGGAGAGATTAGGCCTCTAATTTGCCTTTTTTTCACTGAAATTTGTGTTCTGGTGAAGAAAAAATGAATAATTAAATATATCGGCTATAACGTTGGTATAGTGCAAAGCTACACAATCGCTATCTGTGCTCTGTCCACCGAGGGGGGAATCAAATCCCAGATTTTAACTTTACATGCCAGTACACCATTGACAAAAACTAAGAGCTAGATAAGTTTCCTTTTGTGATTAACCAATAGCATATCTTTTGTCATGAAACCTGGTAAACCTTGACTGTAAGCAAACAATAGTTGTAACTTATAATACAATCAAACTTACCTTGAACCAAAAGCTGAGAAAGATTATTCATATCACTTGATACATCCACACAAAAATACTCTATTATTGATCCTCCCCATGCTGAATGAGCTGCCCTAAAAACATAAAGAGAACCCGGTTAGTTGAAAACTAATGTGTACAATAAATGAGAGGACAGTATATTGCATATAAAGTTAAACGTGTAAAAAACAAAAATTATAAGGTAATTAAGAACACAAGTCTTTAAATAAAATGTTTAACATGCAATTTCATCTCTTTAAAACTATTTGAAATTTTTCTTCTAATATTTCCTATCCTCACAGACACAAACTGAACTATCAGATATAAAACATATTGATACATGTTCACATGGCCATTTCAAGGACTGAATATCAAGGATTCTTGTGTGTCATGCAGGAATAAACCTTTAGTTACAGCTACACACTTTAAAGGTTTACACTCACACCTTTAGTTACAGCTACACTTTAAAGGTTTACACTCACACCTTTAGTTACAGCTACACACTTTACAGGCCTACACTCACACCTTTAGCTACAGCTACACACTTTACAGGCTTACACTCACACCTTTAGTTACAGCTACACACTTTAAAGGTTTACACTCACACCTTTAGTTACAGCTACACACTTTAAAGTTTACACTCACACCTTTAGTTACAGCTACACTCTTTAAAGGTTTACACTCACACCTTTAGCTACAGCTACACACTTTAAAAGTTTACACTCACATCTTTAGCTACAGCTACACACTTTAAAAGTTTACACTCACACCTTTAGTTACAGCTACACACTTTAAAGGTTTACACTCACACCTTTAGTTACAGCTACACACTTTAAAGGTTTACACTCACACCTTTAGTTACAGCTACACACTTTAAAGGTTTACACTCACACCTTT